TGAATGTGGCTTAGAATTATGCAGATAACTACTGTGAAATAATTTTAACCAAAGTCACATAGAAGTGATTATGTTAAGATAGTCTAAAAATTGCATCATAACTATTTTTAAGAAATACTGCGCTAATACTGTATCAAATAATATATTGTACTATTAGATCTAAAAAAATACTATATCATTACTGTGCCATTACTGTGAAATTGCGTAATATTAATTTTGCCTTCCTATATTACATATTAACTCCGATCCACTGAATAAAAATTCACATAATTTGAACAACTTAAGGTTGCTGAAATTTTAACAAGAAAAATAATTACATAATTTGAGCAAACATTATTCGCTGAAATTTGCTAAGAAAATTTTATTATTCGATATATGCCTCACATAAAAACATGAATGTATATTTGTGAAATCAACCACAAGGGTCTGATACAGTAAAAAATAAAAATACATGATAAAAATATTAAGGAATTCTAGTTATCTCGCATAGGTGAAGAAACTGTAGAGCTTTTTTCTAAATTTCGATTTGATCTTTTTAAAGGTGCATTGTATAGTATACTCATATTAATGATTAGAATATTTCGTAATATCAGTAATGTTTCTACGAATTTTTCTATAATAAATAGATCTGATAGTTGAACTGGAATTTCTGATTCATGAAAATGATAATATCGATAAACCTCACTCATATTCCTTATAAGAACGCTTAAACATAATTTTTTTTCAGCTATTTTTACTCCAATAATGCCAAATTCATCCTTATCAAGCTTACAACTTTTATGAGTCCAATACATTCTATTATTAATCTCACGTTACAACTTCACTTGATCATCTCTTTCTTTTTTCATTATATATGATAAATGAGAGTATTCAGTAAATAAAAGTTCATAATTTTTTCCATTATATTTCATTACAAACATAACATCTGGCCGTCTTTCAGATCATCCATCAGCTTTTCTATCTGTACTAGCACTACTTTAACATTCAGAACTGCTAACGAATATGGCTTTTTCTAGAGGAAGATTCTTCAATATTGCTCAGAAGGCTGGTACTATCACATTGGTTACATAAGTACCTTCATTTAGGAAATCCATAAAATTCATTTCAAATGCTAGATTATTTCAAGAATCGCTTCTAATATTCATAAAAAACGTAAGTAGTGAGCAGGAAATAATTAGATATTACAAAAATACCTACAATGTATTCAAAATTCTCTTTACAACTATTGCGAACTCATTCTCTATTTTCTTTCATGTCTCATCATGTATAAGTTTTCTTGGTAAATCAATTTCACGATTCTCAATGAAAGTAATAACAAATTCATTACATTTTCTTTTTACTGCAGACAGAAGAGATGAAGATACCATTTATCATGCTAGTTTTATAAAAGTATGCTTAAATTGCCCTGGTAGATTTTGTACAATTTCTGATTTATCAGAAATTACTTGACTAGCTAGAGGATCCATCCATGATAATTCAGAAATATTCACACTATTTATATTATAGTATAGATGCTAGTTAATTAGCATCATTGTATTTTTTTTGAGTTTAGTCTTCAACTCATTTATATTTTTCTTTATCTCATCCATATTTAGAGGTATCTCTTTATTTGTTTTGACTGCTTCTATATCATGCAAACTGCAGACTCCTTCAAAAGCGATTTCAAACTAATATTAATAGATGATGCATTAGTTTTAGCAATACAAAAATTCTATCATTAAAAAACGCATGCGCTATCAGTACATATGCAACGTTAACATCTTAGTGTGGTCATCACGCTAATAAAACCTTGTGTAATACTAAAATAACTATATAATATCTTATAGACCAACCACTCTCTCATGCATCGAGAATTATTCTTAAAGCTGAGCTAATAGAATGATTAAAAACATAGGCAATAGTTTAAACATTCTCCATACAGTTCAAGAAAATAGTTTTTTTAGATGTAGACTAATAGGATGATTACACTATCATTTCAGGTCCGTTCTTGAGAGTAGATTACATAATATCATCATTTAGTGAAAAAATATTAATAAAGGTTAACAACTAACCTGAGGAAGTATTCGAAGTAGTTTTAATTGACGCGTAAGTTCTTTAGTATACAAATTACTAGCAAATCCTATAGCCTGATTCACAATACTTCTCAAATCATTTTGTGAAATCCAGGGGTCATCTTCTATTCCCTAATAAATAACTGAGGTGGTGGTAATATGTTCTTGTTTAGCTATTACTAAAAATTGTAAATTTTTGAATATAGTTCAGAAGACATAGTTTAGTATTATTAATATAGAATAAGCAACCTAAACGAAAAATTTTGTATGCTATTCTTTTAAATTATTCCATTTATATCTCTCTGGGCTTGTATTTGTATTAGAGAGAAGAGATAAGAGAATATGCAACAGACTCTTACATCAAAATTTTGTGTTAGAGAATAAAGGTATGTGGAAATATGCATTAAAAATCTTGACTTTAGAAAGGTGTTGAGGGTAATGCATATATAGATTTCTCATCTATTTACTTAATACTATGACCTAGCAACGTATTTCAGTTAGAATGGGTAAACCTCATATAGTAGAAATAGTCTGTCTCTCAACTGGAGGCGAGTAAATATACATATCAGTTAATATATTATTTTTCTAAAACATTGTAAGAGAAAAAATTCAGAAATATTTTTTGGGAAGGATTGATTTATTATGTATGAAATTATTTTGTTATACAAGCAGATAGTCGCACTCACACAAATGATTAGCAGTATATCACTATTACATTATATATACACTTCACAAGCTTTAATAGGGATCAAAAATATATTTTATTTATATCACACATGTCTTTATGCATTGGCCTTGATGCGTTTTGTATGGCTAAATAGTATATTATTTATTAATATAATATTCAGGATCTGAGTCAAGATTTGATCTGAAAAATTTAGCACATGAACTTACTATTATCATCCAAATCTGAGAAATTTACGGTAAGATTCTTTCCTAAAATATCATATTTTTTTAACAACTGTGAATCACATATATGTTATACTTCTGTCAATTTACCACTATATCTCTTACAATCCAAAATTTTGATGAAGTATTCAAAGTTATATTTTTTATTAATATGATAATATTTAGGATTTCGTGGTCATTTTAACATATCGATCTAATATGTACTTCTAATAAGTATATAGCTTTGCTGATATAATAATTTTCTAACAAGTATGTGTGATACTGTATCTAATCGTATCTATAATTGGGCTTTCTTTTCAAATATCCATTCATTTTTCGCTGAAGAATAATGGTCCTCATATCAAATTTGTCCTGACAGATTATATCTTTTGTTTTTTATACCTAAATACTTCTTATAATCAGGAATACTATCATTTCTCACTATTTCCTAAACTCGTTTTGCCAAAGATTTGGGTCTTTTCTTGTAATTTCTATAAGCATGCTGGATAACTGTTACATAGAAATTCTCAAACTGATAGTTATATTGTCTTGCAATTAAGAATTCCTAAAACTGCTTCATAGATAGTTCACTAAAATAGTTATACAATATATTGGAAGATTTATCTCAGAATAGGCAAATCAGGTTTTCTTCATGTATATGAAGCATTTCATGCATAGCACCTTCGGCTAATTATACTAGGCGATCATGCATACAGATTATATAGTGTAAAAAACAGAATATAGTTGAGATATTATTTAATCAAAAGTAATAATCTACATTGCTTAGAATCAGTTAGTCAAAACAGTTAAATAATCGTGATTTTTACTTCATTTCTCAATCTTATTGTAATACATTTTGGCCGATTAAGATGTTTTGTGAATGTTAATAAATTATTTTGTTTCGCATATAAAGATGAGATAAATAGCATATTTGGAGTCAACGAGTGTGACTCAAAAACTTGTTGCTTAACCCTTGCACATCTAAGATCACTTAAAGGATCAGAATATTCTTGGTCCTAATGTTCCTACATCATATCCTTAGCTTCAATCAATTCAATGAATCTATGCCATCTATAGTGGTATAATTTGGTTAGCTTTATTTTATTAACTCGAAATAGTTTCTAGTAATGAAAGCAGATTGCCATATTATTTTTATAAATTTTAGGACGATAATAAGAATGATATGATTTGTCAAATTTGCCTTTACCAAATCCTGCAAATAAGCAGAAACTATGGTATATACTATTTTCATTTTATGATAATAAATATTGAAGAGTACTTTTAACTTGTAATCCCATTGCACTGGAGACTTTTCCTTTCTTATTATCGATAATCTGTCATAGATTTTTTCATTAGCAAGAAATTTTCTGATATCCATATCATTATGGTAATTTCCAAGATATGTTCTATAATATTTCATATCATATCCAAGACGATTACTGATAAGCTTAGGTAACTGCCATTATTTTTTATTAATAATTATATTATATTAATAATACTTGTTAAGGTAACAACTGTCATATTTAGCAAATTATATTAATTTTATTGATTTATAGTATTTTTAGCAAATTCTTGAGTAACATATACTATAAAATATCATCATTCAAATTTATACAGATTTGCTGATTAGTGGTTAATTAATTTGTAGCTGATTTAAGAAACTACATACTACTAAATCCAAATTCATTTTATTTGATTATAAGCTCATCGGGGATTTATATAGATCCTCTTTCAGGCTAAGCTAATTTTATATTTTACATTTGACTTATTCAAAGGGCTATGTATAGATCTCTCGGGATTAATGAGAATTAGCCAAATATGATGTAACATAAAAATTCTTTATCACTCTAGCTCTCAGTCAGATCTCAGCATTTTCCCGCAACTTTCTCACAACTTCCTCACAACTCAAATCACGAGATGTGTTATAGATAGTTATTGCCAATCATATTTTGCGTAGTAACTAAACTACCATTATTTTTCAATTAATCATTATATTAATCATTACGAAAATTAAAACGCTGACCGTACGCAAAGCTAATTTAATCTTACTTAGCTTCAATTATGTTCTATATAAGCAAGTCTTTTTTGCTCTTCATTTCCCATAAACTTAAAAATGTCTGCACAGTGAAGCAAGAAACAAACCCGCATGTTAATTGATGAACGTAAAAATGGTAATGAAGAATATCACTGAACCCCTAATTGTGATAAGAGAAACTTCTGAGAGAGGATTGCAGAGAATATTAATTAAGCAAATAATACGAATTACTTCACTAGGGAAGATTATAACAAGAAATTCTTAGCTCTAACTTGAGCATACTATGTAAGTAGATAATTGAGCGCTTATATATATTTAACTTAACTCTGATTTGATATTTTTGGTAATATAGACAATCCAGGCCTATAAGAAAGCCGTAGCAGAAGTTAATACTGAAACTAATGAAGGGGATAAGACAAAAGTCAAAAAAAGAGAAGTCTTATTGGAGAACATTATTACGAAGAGTTCTCCATAGAATTTTGGAAAGTTTCTGGTATTTATCCCTCCTTCGGTCAAGACCTTCAGAAGATAGCTATCCTGTTAGTTTTTTTTCAAACTAAAGTAAGAAAAAATATTTATTGTTTCTAGGATTACAACGTTCTACAACGTCATCTAATATAATCATTCAATCAACACTTTCAACATCTGATCCTTTTGAAACAGGGTCTAATATTTCTTTCGCTAAACAAACTAAATCATCAAGACCAGTAACGCCTTCTATTGAGATTTTTGTTGTCTCTAAACCTGTTACTCTCATAATACTTTCATTTTCTCAAAATACGAATATAATTAATGTAACAATTAATTATGGTGACAAAGAAAGCAGTTCAAAAGAACAATAGGAAATAGAATATTTTTTATTAATATATATGTATAGCGCTTAACAACTGTAGAATAGTATTTTAATGTTCTAGCTGTTTGTTTTTACAATTATAGCTATATTAATAAGCAAATATAATTAATAAATAAATATCACTTGTAAAATGCGAAACACGTTCAAAACTCAAAGTAAAATTTTTATTATATTTTTGTAAAGTAATATACGAGAAAGGCTGGCTAGCTAAGTAAAAATTTAATATTCATTAAAATCAGAAAATTTTTAGTAGCTTGCTTTATCTTCTACACGATAGGCAATCTACTTGTGAATATCTCTCCTTCAGCATTAAGACCAGTAATACCATCCGTTAGAATACCTATTAACTCTAGACTCATAACCCAAGTATTCCTTCTTTTTTACGAATAGCGAATAGTTTAGTAAATTTTATATTTTCATAGCTTGTAAAGCATATATATATTTAAAAATTCAAAGTAAAATCTTTATTTATCATTATGTAATATAGCCAATCTGTTAAGTAAAAAAAAAGTGAATAAAAAATAATAGATCGAAAGATCAGAAAAATGTAATGATTGAAATAAATAATGCTATTAAAGAGGAAGGGAGTTCTCAGATCCTAAGCCATAAATGAGAGTCTTAGCATTAAGTTACTTCGTAATATTACCTTCACTGATACTTCCTCTAATGCTACTGCTACTATTGTTATTACTGCTACTATCGCTAAAACTAATTACTTTCTTATTTTCCTCCTTTTCAACCCATTCGATAATTTTATCCATAGAAGTTCTTCTTGGTGATTTTTGATGATAATAAAAACTAGCTAATATGCTAGTACTAAGTCCAATTTTGATTGATAAAATATTATATAATTGTGTTAGTAAACGAACTTCTCTTTTCCTCTTATTATTAAAAAGAGTTGTAAATTCGACCCAATATGTTTCATATTCATCCGTATATTCAGAATATTGTCTCATAGAAACGTGACTTATGGAAGAGAATCGATTTGATCTTACTAGAAAAAAATAAGACGCAGTGAGACGCAAATAAGTATATATGTATGATGTGATAATTTCTAGTAGCACATGATCTACCTTGAGATACCGCATCATTTTTCCATTCAGCCTCTGTACGCATTTTTTGAAGTTCATTGCTTAATGTTAAAACTATTCTTTCGAGGTTATTATCTCCTGATCGCATTAGATATTTGCGAAAAAAGATGATAGCGATGGCAATAATTATATAAATGTTTATATTTTCAGAAAAAATACTCTAGATTATTTCCATAGTTAGAACACTATAGCTTAACATCTCATAAAAAACAATTGTGATGCTGAAGGTTGCGATCAAGAAAATATCTGTGATTGAGAACATTTTATTAGACTGATTTTTGTTTTATTTCTTTTATGTGAAATTGATTTTTTACTTGTGGGAGAAAAAAAAATACTATGCGCTTCTCTAGAATTAATCCTTTACAATCGTCTGACAAAATTAAATGCCCATATATACTAGCATAGAAAACCCGTATTGAAATATGGATCTGGAATAATCGTGAAATATTGTTATAGCTTTACCCTGAAAAAAGAAAATTATCAAGATTCTGTCTGGCACCTGTACCTAAAGACGAAAAAAGTTAGTATATTCCTGTATCTTTATATTCTCACAACATATTTCAAACAATAGATAATATTTTTTCTTAAATACTTGACTGTGAGCCCTTACGTAAGAAAAAATTTTTTTATTAATAAAAATTTATTGAAATATTTGTTAGATCCTTCTGGGATCATATATGTATAAGTATGTGAATAAACTATATTATAAAGTACATTTTTGTCTAAAGAAAGACTGAAGGAAAAACTAAATATCTGTATATGAGACGCCATTCACAAGAGAAATTTGATATTTTTTTTTTCTTGCTTCGAACATATAAGAAGACAGAAGTTCTATTTGTTTATGACGCAGTTCAATTCGAAGTCCTTCACCATTTATCCTTATAATGTAGATCAAAATGAAAGGAAAATAAGCAGGATATTTATAAAAAATATTAGACAGATTCGCATGAATATTTTTGCGAAAAATTAGCCATTCTAGAAATAAAATTATCAGGAGTATTAGCGTAAATTTTACATCCCTTATACTTTCACAATTTGCAAATATGCGCAGATTATCTAATAAAATATACTGCTTATTTGATATGACCAGGAGAAAAAATTGTGTTAAAATGAATATCCAATGAACATGCTAAACTGATATGCTATAAATTTATACAATGAAGTAATTGTATATCTACCATTTATTATCTAGATTGGCTAATATACCCCTATTGCAAAAAAAATCTGAATAAAGATTATTAACCATAGATCAAGATCTGTAAAAACAGTAGATGATAAATCACCTATGCCAGATTATATACTGCTAATTTCTATGACTTTATCTTAAAAACAGATTAATGTATGATTAGCTTATACATGTAATTTAAATGCGTTAGTAGGATAATAAAAAATTACTGTTTATTTGAGGATCTGTAAATCTTGGATTCTAATCGCTCTATTTCCATTTTTGAATTTCTTTTTAACAACGCTCCCATCTTACGATCCACAAAATATAAATCAGAGATATGGTTTTTTTATTAGTAATTCAGAACTGTGTAATGAGTGAGATAGAACATACCAGAACTTTGGGGAAAGTTCATTAGTATGTCAACACAAAAATATTGCTCTTGGCCGGGGTTATTAATAGATCCTCTAAAAATAACGACTGCGGATGCTGGTGACGTACTACTGCGCATAGAATATTCTGCAGAATCATATGCGTTTACTACAGAGAAGAATAGATGACGCTTTACTGTACACGATATTTAAGCCACCCACGTGATTCGAAAAATAATGCGAATATATATGGCAATCTAAACCTATTTCAAAGACAGTTGAATTTATGCTAATCTTATAAATCCCGTCTTGGGAACATCCAATTTGAACTCGTTGTTTATATTGCCGAGTTTCATTTCGCTGACTTTTGCATGAAACGTTTTCTATTTCTCCACTGCAAGAGGATAAAGACTGTATTAATGAAAATCTTTAAAATAAGAATAAACCCAAACACACATTTTCACTCGAATTAGATCCATAATGTCGTCAAAAACTTTTGCGATTATTGGATTGACAAAATCTTCTCAGAAAGAAAGTTTGGTTTGTTCAGGATCCGTTAATAAATTGAAAGGCGCTTTGAAAGAAGCAAACTAGAAAATAAATAGTACTAACTTGAATGAGATGTGACACAAGTGGAAATAACAATAATCAATGATCACGAATACTTACAAACGCTTATGTATGTCTTGGATCCATAATAGGTCGAAGTGTTCTTTATGTATAAAGGTGCCTGTATATGGCTCTGCGAGAACATCCTTAATAGTACTGTCCAAATTGATTACATCAAATACCGATTTACCCTCAAAATGATTATGATATTTTTTTAAGAGAGGATGTAAAACTTTGTCCCATTTATCTTGACGGATTGTTTTTACTTCTTGTGAAAGTTCTAGCTATGGAGTTTAAGCAGGATTGTTTGTTAAAACTTAAAGATTAAGTGTTAAACTTACAAGCAAACAGAATAATACCGAGTTCCATATCTCTTTTAACATGCGCTTATCGGACGCTGTCAACTTATTAACGGGATTTGAAGCATCTCGTTCTGAAAGATTGATTACCCGGTAATTAAAAAGATGATACTTTATACATTTTATTTTTTTGACTATGCGGTTTTCCTCCATTGTATCCTGCGAATCCTGTGAAGATGGAGTATAAATCAGATGAGATATGCTATAATGTTTAAAGTTATGCAGATAAGCGGTGAGATAAATGGACATTTCTTAGGTAGTTATCTTCATTAAGATCATAGTCAATGTTAACATCTTCTCGCTTACTATACGAATCGAGAACTCCTGAATGTGTAATTCCTTGTCGCTCTGTCATAGTTTATTGTTGTGATGTAAATGTCAAAAAAGGTTATCAAAAACAGTTGCGAAATAGAACATAATTACCTCTTGGATCAAAGGGGCCACACTTGATGAAACGATTCGATGTGGAGGTGTACGTGGTTGATCTTGTATAGGAACAACTGGAAAATAATCCTCCATTGTTTTCCTTTTGGTAGGGACACATCTATCAATGTCATTATTAGGATAGAGAATACAACAATGAGTACACCATTTTTAGTCAATATTATCCACAATTTTATCATATCAGAGCCTCGTCAATTCTCTTCATGATGCCAGTCACTGTTCCAGCCTGTGAAAGAAATAGTGTATTGTTAGCTGTCAGCTGTTATGTGTGTTAAGTTAAATAACAGAAAATATTGCAAACTTCTGCCAATCGCATTTCCCTCCTCTTTACTTCAATTTCAGCATCAAGCTCAATTCTATCCCAGAATAGCTTTGAATCCATATCACTTGTGCGATGACCTTTTTAATACAAAAATAGAAAATTATTAGCTTTGTTCACAAAGTAAGAAATCTTTTAATATTAAATTATATGTGGACCACAGCGAACACGTAGATCATAAGGAGAATAACACGTAGATATTCTCCATAGCTATGTGAGTTTATTATCTCCATAAAAGTTCTATGACGAACACGTAGATCATCAAAGAGAAGGCGCGTAGACTTCTCTTCTAGTCATAGAAGTTTACAAAGACTCAACTACGACGAACACGTAGATCATCAAAGAGATGACGCGTAGACTTCTCTTTTAGTCGCAGTGAGTGCTCTAAACCACTGTTTAAAACCCTCAGCAACAAAACAATACTTGCCTTGAACTTTTTATCTAAAAGAGTAGCGTAATACTTTGCTACTTCAGGTGAGCCGTCTTTCATAAGATAATCGAGAGATTTCCTGAGTGTAAAAGCTTCCTTTTGGAACGAGCCAGTGAAGTTTTTTTCTTGCTGGCGGTGCTTATAAAATTTGGAAATATTCAAATCTTCAGGTGGTATATTGGTAAAGTATGAGCAGACTTGAGTTCCTTCCATCATATGTTTGAAAAACTTGTTATATATTCTAGACAGCTTTTAGAGTATACAAAATTACAAAGGATAGTTTATACAGTACGTCAACAGAAGCAAGGCACGATACTGATGATTCAGTTACGCAAAATAAGCATGACTGAATTTCTTTATGATTGGCCACTATTTTGATAAACAACACTAACTGTGATTGGTTAGAATTTTTCACG